CTTACCACCAGGTGAACTATAATTTTGTCACTTAAATTTTATAACAAGTGAAATTTTTAAATTATGCCTTTTTCTTCTAAAAGACTACTTTTTCTTAATATATATAATTGTCATGTTCAAAATTTCAAGGCCGCAGCTGATCGGGAACTTATGTGAATCAATTACTGAATTCGATGCGAACGGACACACGTAAGCGAGTCCCTAAAAACGTGATAAAAAAGACTTTGAATTATCATCGAGCTCGTTGCTACAGCGTCGAATCCTGCAGAAGATGCAGGTGTAGCACATGGAGATGATCAACAGAGGCACGAAGTACATCGCGCACAGACACGCCACGTTGTACGCTATCTCGTGAGCCGCGTTTGAGAACGCGCCGAATGATACACACTGCTGGAACCCCGCCACTAGCGGGTGCTGCATCACTCGGAACACCAAGCTCTATCACAGAATATATATATGTAATTTTAACATATTATTTATTTATTTTATTTAAGACTTTATAGTTTTTAGCCGACTTAAAGAAATGAGAAGGTTAACAATTCGACTGTATGTTTGTTTATATGTAAGTAACGCGGTATCTTCGTCAACTGTGAACTGATTTTGTTCCCTTTTTTATTAAATAGGTTTACCTCTAGCGGTGGTTTCATATACATTTTGAGAACAGTTCCAATCCTAAAATACGCAAAACAGGGGACGTAGTTTTGAATGGAACTATTTAAACGATATTGAGATTGCGATATTTCAAGTCCACTTAAAAAGTAAAAACATAACTTTTTTTAAATAAGTAAAAGCAGACTTCAAACAACTAAAAAGAAGAAAATAATCTCACATTCTGAAATGAGTGTATACATTTTTATGTACATATCTTAGCGCCGACTTCAGAATGTGACTATATTATTAAGTCTATTTATTTCATCTTGTTTGAGCCTTACAAGAACAGTAGAAGATCAAAAGGCGTACTTAATGCTAAAAGCATTCTCTGTCTGTCAACCTTGAGCACGATAACACTACGTAGGCGGTTACCAAGAACATACAAAAATTAGAAAAGTAAACACATATACACACTTTCTTAATAAAATAGAAGAGATTAAAATTAATATCATTCCATTCATCAAGTGCGTTATCAGAATCAGTATTCAAACATACAGAAATAACTTTACTTCAGAAAAATCGATTTAAAAATAATCAAATTAAATTTGTATTTGTTTGTTATATTTGCCAATTCTATGTGGATTGATTACCTCTGGAATTATCGAGCCGGCGGTGGCGTACATCAAAGACGGGGCGCGCGCGCGCGTAGTACCTACACTAAGGCCCGGTTTCCACCAAAGCGTAGAGGAGAGGAGACGAGAGGAAATGTGATGCAAAGCTGGCAGGTTATTTCCACCAAAGCAGAGAGGAGAAGTGAAGCGGAGAGGAGATACGAACTTTGTGTAGTAGAGATGTGAGCTGTGAGAGATCGAAACCAGTCAAGTTCTTGATAATATAATTTACATATGTAACTTTAATGATAACTGAACTAAGCAGTTTTGAAGCATTTTCGGAAAATGAGCCAGAACATTTGTCTTAAATGTTTGTTTGCTTTGTCTTAACTTTTCAGGCAGCTCACTCCATAGGTGCGTGGCTTAGACAGCAAATCATGAAACTCGAATGGTGAAAAGATATAGAGAAAGCAAGACTCTCCGATGAAAATGCTGTCTATCATGAGTGTTACGCAAGAACTAAAACTTATGTTTCAGATTATCCGGATCTCAAATAAAATAGATTGTTCTTTGCAGTTTTTTTTATTTTTAACCATAAAGGTGCCGCTAGTCATATTTTAAATGCAAGAGATTATTTCTTCATATTTAAATGGGATCCACTACAAGTTAAAGCCAATGATATTATAAGTAAAAAGGTGTAGATAGGTTACCTACACAACATTCGATCTTCAAAAACGGCACACTAACGCACACATAAATAACTAAATATTGCAGTAGCACACTACATTAAGATTAGATGTCAAAGTAGGATGACATAATTAAACTTTCGCAAGCGTAAAAGAGACAAATGTAATTTGCGACAGCGCGTGGTCTTGTGTAGTAGGAACGATTTAGAATAATTAATCAGATATGACATTATACCGTACATCGTTATTTATGCCTAAAACGTGATTCACTCAAGAGTGCAAGTAGTAAAAGTAATAAAGTAGTAAAAATGCATTAAAAGTAGGAAAGTAAAAAAATTGGTTTTTTTTAAATTTATTATCAAATAAAGTGCTGTAATAATTTTTTATATACGAACGTATATACCAATTCGTTACGCTACAAAACAAATAAATTGAACTAATTAATTAATAATGACATAGTTAATTTACCCTTCAATAAAACAAGAAATATATGTACACAATTTGAATTACGATACTCAGGAGAGACCTATCTGTTTTTTAAATTCTTTGATCAGAAACAATATTACTTCTCTCTCTAACTCACTCATGGGGGTATTTTAACCCTCTCTATTTTTTCTGGCAATGTATTTTAAAATACGTAATTTTTGAATTTGTAAACAATACGAAAATAAATTAAGGAAATAGTAAACGAATGAAATATGATTCTTTTTGACTTTTGAAAACCTTTCTTGTGTAGTTTGTGCAGAATTTCATCACATATGACGGCATTTTCAGTGCAAAAACAAAACACGAATTACTATCAACGCCGTTGTCAATGACGCGACGATAGCGCGACGACTGAGCTCAGGTTTGCTAATTATCCTAGTTTTTACGTGCCACTTGCTGTGCGCGTATAATCTATCTACCTATTTTTCTTATATCATTGGTTAAAGCCCATTTCATGAAAAATATTTAAATTATATCGGTTAAAAATCGTTAAAATCGGTGAACGGTTTTAATATACACAATTAAAATAATGTATAACCGCCGAACTGCCACAATGCCTGATAGCGACTCTCACATCTCTTCGAAATATATTTTTATTATTTCTCAGACATGCTGCATGCAGTGAATGTGGTAAATCAGAACTTTAACAATTTCATTGGCGCCGGCGGGGATCAAAACCGGGTCGATTATAGAACCTTCTAATTTTTTGAAGTTATTTTAATGAATCAATTTAACGGGGACGGTTACAGTAATGGTAAATAATACCAAGTATTCAGTACCACAAGCGGGTTACCTGAGGCAAGCTGCAAACGAAAAAAGTGCCATCACCCAAGCGCAATACAAGAGATGTTGGCTTCTTTTAAGCGCCCCTCGCAGTTTTAACGGATATAAAACTGCAAAAACTTGGGATTGAGTTCAAGCACTAAGATTATTCAACTTTTGTATAGAAAAAAGGGTGACAAGAAATCACACAGTTCACCTAGTGGTATTGGATGCTTTGGCCCATAGATACCTGCATTCATCCTCGATTTAGATTCAAAATGCAAATGCGTTGTCACTGTGTCTGCATTTTGATCCCAATTCAGCCCATACGTGCTGAAGTTGATCGCTCAACGATACAAACGTTTTCATCATATCCGCGAATTTAGTGCATGGATAATAACACTCTCACGCTATGTCAAATCATATACAAGGTGTAAGTGTAAACACCGTTGTCACTAAAATATAAGCCATAAGGCTTTAATATAAAAATATTTATCCGAATTTTAAAAAAACGCTATTTTCTTTTATAAAACTTAAAAAGTTTCTGTCCGACACCGTTCGTAAATTCATGGATATCCTATGCGCCCGTGTTACGTAATCACTGTAAAGATCATCGCCCGCCCTAGCTACCTACATTCCAATAAAGACACAATAGGTACACATAACCTGTGATGTAACTTTTCCTTCATACTTTCATTTTGGCTTAGGACAGGGAAAAATTGAGGAATTAAGGAAAAATTAAAAATTAACTAAAAAAATGTTATTTTTTATTGAATTTACGTTCTATACGTGAAACCAAACCACTGGTTTCAAGGATAACGGTGTTTACACTGACACCGTGTATATGTATCAGATATTCATTATCTGATATTCTATCCATGTGTTTCAATATCTATGTATCGGTGGATATCCACTTAATTATGTTAATCTGAAAGGGAGTCGGTACTTAGTACATCAAGATGATGCGAGATTTTTGATGGATTAGATTTTCTCTGTTTTATAAAATTTATATTGTAATATATAAGGATTTTAATTTATATTGGTTGATTTATAGATATATTTATAGATACTCTGAAACTATAGTATCCAATTAGCGAAGAGTCGTGTTTCACTCAAATATAATAAATACCTCGCACAAAGATATTGTATTCACTTGAAATTAAAATCATTGTATCTCATTGATATGTTAAATTATTATTATTTCTTTGAGATCGATGTTCTGAAATAACTCTGTATTGCAGCGGTATCTGGAACATAGTTAGTCTGTCGCCTGATATGTTACCTACACTTAGATACCTATTGTACCGGTTTTTTTTAAAGGGTTACCCCTACTAGGATAATCAGCTGTATCGTGGAGGCAGTTTACAAACACTAATTGCACAAGGACAAACATCTAGACCCGGAACAATTGTTTTTAGGCCATACAAACACCCATGTTCCATGCGGGATTCGAACTCGCGGCCCTCAGCGCCGCAAATCAATGCTACACCACTGCGCTATGGATTCGATATAAATACATTAGATATTGTTTAGATTATAGTATATATTTGCGTGTAGATATTGTGTCTATATAATATTGCACGCTCTTTAATTTTATTATTAATCAGAGTCTCTGAAAAATGAATAATACATATTTGTACTGTAGAGGCCACCAGTCGTCGCTGCTGGTAATAAGAAGGCTTTTCTCTGAAGAAGCTTTGTATCTAATTCACCGAGTAAAATCAGCTAGCGGTCTTGGCACTATCCCGCGGGGAGTAGGATTGAACAATAAATTAAGTTTTTAGTTTTAGTTTTTTTAATTATGCTTTTTAATATTGTATATATTTGCAAGGTATGCTAATAAATAACAGGTTAAATTGTTTACCTATCAATGGAAATGCAGACTAGAACGTTAGAAGATAAATATAGTCCGAAAGCTCTCATGACGAGCAGCACCTTGCAGAGCGCGTTGCCCGCCAGCCACTCGTTTGTGTACTTCCAGCCGATCTGCGGAAAAATAAAGCATTATTAATTGCCCTGACTGTGTCCTCTTCTCCGTCGTCTTCGTCAACAGCAGGTCAAAGCCAACTACTACGCTATCGGCCACAGAGCCGTGGTAGCTCAGATGTTTAACGCTCGCTGTAAATTTTTTTATAGAATAGGATGACAAACGAGAATACAGTCCACCTGATGGTAAGTGGTTGCTGTGGCCAATAGACATCTACATCTATCCTCGATTACGAATCAAAATGCAGATGCGTTGTCACTGTGAGGACTTAGGTGGAATTCCTCGTTTCCAGTAAAAAGGGTCTCCAGTTCTTTACACTCACCATATGAAACACGGCACAATTAAGCTACTATTTGACGCTGGTATTCTGTGAGAGTGTGGTCCTTCCCCGGTCGAGCCGACCCATTCGTGCTACGACTATACCACTAAGTACTAATATAACTGCAGCATGGCTCTACCATGTAAACAGAACAGAACGCGAGTAGCCCGGGTTCGATCCCCGCTGACTACCAATGAAATTGTTGATTGCAATTTTAAGTGCTGATTTACGACGTGCTCGCCGGTGAATGAAAATATCGTGAGGAAACCAGCATGACAATACAATACAATACAATATTCTTTATTGTACACCAACAAAACATAAATATAACAAATAATGAACAAACAATGAGGGAAAAACAAAAGGCGGTCTTATTGCTACATAGCAATCTCTTCCAGACAACCCAGAAGAGGAAATTAATAAAAATAAGATTAACGGGTAGGGTGCACTAAATTAGACAAAAAAAATACAACTTATATACTATAAAATGACAACATACTTAAGGTATATTAGTGACCATAACTAAGAGGCGGAAGAGAGAGGAGTTAAAGAGACAAATAGTGTTCCTTAAAATAATATTAATAGTGTTCCTCTGAGGAATAAGGAAAAAATATTTCAAAGACATGTGAAGTTCGCCAACACGCATTGTGGCAGCGCAGCGGACACTTCCTTGCCCTAAAACCCTCTCAGAACTCATTTCTGAGAGGGTTTTAGCCTTGGAGGCCTGTGCCCAGCAGTGGGACGTATATAGGCTGTAACTTTACCTTACTTTACTACGCTATCAACATGGGCCTCATAAGGATTCGCCTCAATCAATGTAAGAACCAAACATGTTAAAGAAGTGGAATGTTACATTGATGAAAGGTACAGTATAAACGAGCAAAAATAAGAGAGGGGAGGGATAATGAAGTATAGATAGTAATAGACATATTAAATGTAGTAATTTATTTACTTTTTTTGTAAAATATAAGACTTCCTGTTATATTGTTGCGAATGATCGTAAGAAATAAAATAAAACCCGAAGAAATGAGGGCATAGGATGCCCTGTGTTTCATTGAAATGGGTAGTCTGCTGTTTGTATATACTTTCGAGTTATCATGTAATTGGATCCTTCAACTTACACCGGTGTCTGATAATGACGTGAACTGTATTGGTCTATATTGAATGTAAATATGTAGCAGTGTGCTAATTTGTTGCTGTTAATGTTTGGTTGCTTAAGCAGGAGAGCAAGTTAAGCATCCGCTCTCACACCATTTTTTTGGCAATTGTCTGCCAGAATGGTAGTAAGAAGAGTTTGTTACTGAGTAGTGTTTTTTTAGTCTATATAATAGAGATATAGATAATGTCTAACAATGTAATACGAAAGTAACTACGTATGTCGAGTGTCAGAGAGCAAATTGTTTCTTTTTTGGGTAAACATACATATATAAAAAATAAACCGGTAAATGGAGTGAGAACAAAGTTCATTTGAAAGCAAATTCCCATATCAATGCATTGATAAGCTCCATATTTCTTACGTCCTTTTTTAATAAATCATAAAATATGCGTCAGTTACCGCTGGCGATGGGTCGTTGACGGTTTTTTCTTTAACGAAACGTTAACGTTTATTTACTTTTGTCAACTACTTAATCAACTAGTTGAATTCGTCAACGAGTTAACGTACTACTAATGTCAACCTTCAACGTAAACCGTACTTTCATTGAACGGTTTTTATACAACGCTGCGAAGTTCAATTTTAGAAACAATTTATATAATCAAACATTTTCCAATATATACATCAAGTATATATTGCAAAACGTTTGATTGATGGATCTACTTAGATGACCTTCCCTTCATACTTTTCTTTAGGTTTAGGACTGACTGAATACAATTAATTATAAACCATATTCTACTCAGGCGTATTTAAAAGGTCATCTGATTCTATTTACACAAATTAATTATTATTTACAATATGTTTTTTATAGTTTTGTTTGTTTTTTTTTTACATAATTCTTATGTTGATATATGTACATTCGTCAATTTGTTTTTTTTTTAAATTTAATTCATACCGCTTCAACCGGTCACAATTCACTGTTACCCCTAATATGTCCCGACATTTTTAATTTTGTACCTTAAGTAGTACTATTTTATGCAAATATACATAAACATATAATAACACTCACGCCTGTCACCCAGAGGGGTAGGCAGCGACTACAGACTTCCATTTAGCACGATCCTGACATACCTTTCTCGCCTCTTCCACATTCATATACCTACGCATACATGCTCGTCGGTTAAGGGTACTCTTAATTTGGCCCATTTTTAGTATATCGTCAATTTGGTCGACAAACTTCCGCCTAGGACGTCCCTTTCCGACTCTTCCATTCACTTCTGCAACATATATTTGCTTTGACAAAGCAAATATATGTTGCAATATAATTGTCTTTCCGCATTCATTCTTTCTACATGACCAAACCACCGAAGCATTCCTTTCTTAATCCTGGTCACCGCATCATCTTGCAAACCACACTCTTCTTTTATCACACAGTTTCTCACCCTGTCACTCAGATTCAGCCCTAACATACTCCTTAGCGACCGCATTTCTACTGCATTTATTCTACTCTCGTGCTTCTTCTGCCACACCCAACTTTCACTACCATACGTTAAAGTAGGGACTAATACAGCACTGTGAATTGCCATACGTGCCTTTTTGACACATTCTGACTTTTCACAATAGAGTGTAGAGCCCCGTTTACTTTATTTCCTGCATTCACTCGTCGTTCAATATCCTTATCATATCTCCCATCCCTGCTGAATACACATCCCAAATATACGAACTCATCCACTTGCTCAATTAACTCTCCTTCTATTCTTATTTCACATACCGTTTTGCTTTCATCTCTTTCAAAAACCATCACTTTCGTCTTACTTGCGTTCACTTTCATTCCCCTTTCTTTTAATGACCTGTTCATTAATGTAACCATCATTTGCAACTCGGCCGCCGACGACGCAAGTATGACTTGATCATCGGCGTACAAAAGGCATTTGATGGTTAACTCACCCATTCTTAACCCGCATTCTTCAACTTTCAAATTTTCCAAACAGCTGTCCATAAATAGGTTGAACAGCCACGGGGAAGCTACACATCCCTGTCTGACACCTTTATGGATGCCAAACCAGTCCGAGTAGACCCCGTTGATTCTAACACAAGCACTCGAGTCCCTATACAGACTTTAATGCCTGTATCAAACCAGTGCTTAACCTAAATGCGTTCAGCGTTTGCCGTAACACATCCCTGTCCACTCTGTCATAAGCCTTTTCCAAGTCCATAAACGCACAAAAAACTTTTTGGTTTTTCGCCAAAAACTTCTCCGCGATCATGCGCATGGAAAAGACTTGATCTGTACACCCCATTCCCTTTCTAAATCCCGCTTGCACATCCCAATTTTTTTCATCAGTTTCTTTCATAACTCTTTCAATTAGTACCTTAGCATACAGTTTTCCCACAATGCTATGAAGGCTGATACCACGGTAGTTTTTACAGTCCTGCTGTGACCCTTTTCCCTTATATATTGGGACTATCACGGCTTTGCACCAGTCTCCCGGTACCCGCTTTAGTTCCCTACATAAATTAAACAAGGTGTACAGCAGGCCTGCCACCACGTCCTCTCCAGCCCTTAGCATTTCGGGTGAAACTCTATCATATCCGGCTGCCTTACCTACTTTCATGCTTTTCATTGCTTTCATTATTTCATCTATACTTATCTCCCTATCTCTTTCATCTTCTTTCGGAATTTCTATTTCATTTAGATCACACTTCTCCTCACTCATAAATTCGCTTTCAAAATATTCCTTCCGTCTCTTTAGACTCAACACTTCATCATTCAGGATACAGCCATTCTCGTCTCGTATCGCATTCAATTTAGGCTGTTTTGAATGTCCCCTGGTATTTCTTACGAGTTTCCAGAACATTTTAATATTTGCCTGGAAGTTATCCGATATTCTTCTATCATTCCTATCCGTTCTTTCTTGCTTTTTCCTTTCAACTAATTCTTTTACTCTCTTATTTAAACGTTTAAACTCTGCCTTTTTTCTTTCATTCTCATCATTCTTACCGCCAGAATTACCAGCTTTGGTCGCTAGTAAATCTAGCCATGCTCTCTTCTTTGCTTCAACGTACCTCATCATCCCACCATAACGTATTGTCTTTCCTTTCATTCGTTCTCTTACTAACACCACATACTTCGATAGCTGCATCCACTAAACCTTTCTTAACATTATGCCACACATTCTCCAAGTCTAACTCATTCACACACAACTCATCCAAATTACTTATATTTTCTCTCAGTCTGCATTTGTACTTGTCTTTCACATCTTCATCTTGTAACCTCTCAATTCTTATACGCTGTAACGCAGTGGTAGACACAGATGTCCTATGCCGCCAACGTCTGAATAAACCCCTAATTCGGCATAAGACCAGGTAGTGGTCCGTCCCTACGTTGGACCCCCCGGTAAACCCTTGTATCCACCACTGCGCTCCTCATTCTTTCATCCACAGTTATGAAATCTATTATGCTTCTATCATCACCTCTTTCCCA